CGCTACATGTCACCAGTGGGCGCTGCATGCACCACTTCTCTCCGCGACCCGACCGTCTCGAACGGACTGCGAGACATGCCTGCAGCCGTCTCGCGCTCACACCGCCAAGCAGGGGCTAGAGAAGGTGGGAGACGGCGGGAGCAGGTGAGCGACGGCGGGAGGAGGCGGGGAGGGCACCGGTTGAGGGGCGAGGCGTAGCACTCGTGCGTGACGCCCCACCGCTCCTTCAGCAGCCTCATCATCGGGCGGGGGAGCGCCGCCTGGAAGGAGCAGCCCAATCAGACATGCCCGCAGCCCATGGTACACCCCGAGACTCAACCCCAACCCGCATGGGGATTCGAGACTCTGGAGGGATGGTACTGAACCCTTCCGGACGAGAGCTGCGAGACCTCGCTAGCGTCCTGCCCCCACCACAGGCGCCCTCCAAATCTCCCCCTATCTCCCCATATCTCCCCATATCTCCCCGTATCTCCCCGTATCTCCCCGTATCTCCCCGTATCTCCCGACGCAGGCGCCGTCCAAAAGTTCGAGGGCCAGCTCTCGCTCTTTAACCTGCGCCTCCCCGACGGCTCGCGAGGTCTAGCCGAGATCTAGCCGAGATCTAGCCGAGATCTAGCCGAGATCTCGCCGAGGTCTATAGCCGAGGTCTAGCCGAGGTCTCGCCGAGGTCTCGCCGAGGTCTAGCCGAGGTTCTAGCCGAGATCTAGACGCGTGCGCGTGCACCGTCGTCCCTGCTCAAGACGGGTGTCACTATCGGCTGGCTGCAAACTACCGCGACCTCTCCCCCAGCCCATCCCCTACCTCCTCAGTACCCAAACCCATACCCTACCACAGCACCCAAACCAATCCCCCCCTCCCTCACCAAGGTCCAAACTACCGCGACCTCTTCCCGGAGCCGCCGCCGCCGGGTGTGCAGAGAGAGAGAGAGAGAGAGAGAGAGAGAGAGAGAGAGAGAGAGAGAGAGAGAGAGAGAGAGAGAGAGTACTCACACACACACACACACAGAGAGAGAGAGAGAGAGAGAGAGAGAGAGAGAGAGAGAGAGAGAGAGAGAGAGAGTAGTACTAGCCCCGTCTGCGCTGTGGGGGGTCGCCGG